CACTGATTTGCATACAGAAAAACTTCGGACTAAATCCTGCAACTTCATACTGAGAGTATGCATATTTTACTCTCCCGAAATTGCCCTGAGGAAATTCGCCTGCTGGAACGATTTCGGACTAAATCCTGCAATCGTACTGCTTCAACGCAACTAGTATAAGTCGTTTTTAATCAAGGAATGAAACCGATTCAAAATAGCGTTCCGGTTTCGGTTTTGCAAAGTGTTTATATTTCGGTTTTGGTTACGTTCTTCAAAATTTGTTTCAGTTTCGGTTTCGTTCCACTTTCGGTTTTGGAATGAAAAAATAAAAACAGGTTTGACAAAAAAAATATTAAATAAATATGGTTTGTTTTTGGCGAAATTAAACATTGTGATTAGTTTTAATTTATGCAAAGAAAGCACCAATCAATTATACAAACTAATAACCATATTCCACCACATTTGCTTACATCTAAATGCATAAATTTGTTTATTATATTATTTGTTATTTAATGAGACTTGTTGCTGATAGGTATTTGATTTACAGTATCGGTCATATCTATAGCACGCCATTTCAAAGTGATATTGTATGCCACTTATGTTTATTTATTTATTTTTAAGAATTTTCAATTAAAATACAGTTCATTCTCGAACAAGCCCCATATAAACCCAAGTGTTACAGTTTGTAGAAAACTACAAAAAAGTGCAACAAATTTTCACCTTAATTTCAAAAATTTTTTTCTCGGAAGTGTTGGAATTTTTTTGAGTACAGTTTTTTAGCTCCTTCAATTTTAGTCTGATAATGTGCAAGTTTCAAGTGGCTAAAAGTTACCGTTGATTGTTTAGTATTTTTTTTCGACAAAGGTGTTGCGGATTTCTTCCATATACAAATAAATTGAGTTTATTCATTATATGGAAGCCAATGCGACAAAAAAAATCTAAAAAATAAACGGTAATTCGTAGCCACTTCAAATTTGCACATTATCAGACTAAAATTGAAGGGGCTAAAAAACTGTGTACCTACTCAAAAAAATTCTACCACTTCCGAGAAAAAAGTTTGAAATTTATGTGAAAATTTGTTGCTCTTTTTGGTAACTTTCTACAAATTATTAATGGGTTTGTATCGGGTTTATCTGGGAATGAACTATATTTTAATTGAAAATTCTTAAAAATTAATAAACAAACATAAGTGGCACACAATATCACTTTGAAATGGCGTGCTATAGATATGACCGTTACTGTATGTACATACATATAAGTGTGATATTCACAGAAATTTTGTTGATATTATAATATATTTAACAATAATTTGAAAAAATGTTAGAAGGGATAGCTATTTCGGAAATGACCACATTTACTCAACAGACTTCTTTTAGTGGGGCTCGATCCAACGACCCCAGCTGACTTAGCTGGTTGCCTACGCACTGTGCTAAGTTCGTCTTAATTATCGTTGCTTTTTCCACTTTTTCATTTGTTAAGCCAACTACAATCAAGTGCAGCTATTCCAGTGCTATTTAAACTTGATCATGTGGGTGTTGATTTCGTTAGTTTTGTTAATAATTCTATTTTTAGAATGTTTTAACTTTTAATTGTGCTCGTCCTTATGTTATTTGTTTTAATTTTTTGCGGTCTTATAACAATTATTAATTACCAATATGCGCATATATGTTTGAAGGTATCTATGTATGTTCATATGTACAACAAAAAAATACAATTCGCCATATGCAGCAATAAAAATGTTTATTTTTTCACTGGACAAAATAAATGCAAAATGATAAAAGAAAGGCCAGGACGAAGCCACATAATTACAAAAAAATGTGAGCAGCATATTAAACGTTGATAAGTAAAAAAAAAAAGATTAACAACGAATATGCTAAAAATAATATTCGTAGATATGTATTTGCGTTTGCGAGTATATTACTCGTATAGATATATACACATATGTATGTACATACATATATGTACAAAAGTCAAGTCCAAAGGAATTCATGTTAAGACTGCAGGAGTAATCAAAGTCATTCGTTTCATGATTTCAGTGAACTTAAGAAACTTACCTTACTTTTCCTCCGCAAAACTGACACTCCGGCCCTTGCCAGCCATCAGCACATAGGCATTGGCCGTCCTTCTGACACTGTCCTTCATTTTGGCATCGATTGCCCTGAGCTGTGCAATTAAATGCAGACACCCGGCTCAACTCACTGAAACAACTATGGAAGATTAACAGTAGCAGGAGGAACAAAAATTTCCGCCGGTATTTCGCGTTAAATATTGGTAAAATATGGGCAGGTGAAATTGAAGCTATCATTATCGACACGTTGCAGTTGGAAGACGACAGCAGGGACAATTTTAAAGGCCTCACCGACTTAGCAGGTGGCACAATTTTCCAATCAGCTAATGGGGTTTGCTTGGCTGTGCCTCCTATTTGAGAATACCGTTCTGATTGTGATTGCTTCAGCTGGAAGTCTCGCTTGCCGTTGGCATTATGCTTTTCCCTGTAGCATATGAGTTTTGTTAAAGCCCCACACATATTTTATTTGTAATACTTTTTTTGATTACTCAACATTTACTAGTTTTCTTTTATTTCAGTGCCATTGACTGACATTTT